CCTCATATTATACTGTAAAATTGGTGCCAAAGGCAATTAAGATTGGTCATAGAAATAAACCATTTCGAAAGTAAATAAAAACAATGTTGGAAAACTATACTGCGGTTAAGACCTAAGAGGTAAGATCAGATGGAATTATTTAACTCTCATTACAGTGATCCTAGAAGTACTTAGATTGATGATAATACCAGTGATAATATAATTCATTGGTTAGCGTACTTAATTTTAGTTAGTGCTTTTTTTTGTCGGTGCTTTAAGCGATGAATTCAGTGGCGAAGGCATCATTTTCCGACGGGTTACAATTGACACTCTTTTCATTAGAATATTATACCGTGTAAATACGGTAAAAAAGATAATGTATATATACTGTAATGAATTCCCTTAACTTGTTTGTGTATTAAATTCTTTAATATTTTAACTTTCCTTAACAAAAAATTCTTGTCGCAGTCATGTTGACCTCTCTCTAGACAAAAGGAAATACTAATCATTAAACTCTTGCCAAATAAAGGTGAAGGTAGGTTTGAAAAATATGTGCTTACTTGTATGTCCATACTTCTCCATTTTACACAAAAATCTATAGGACAGCAAGGACCACCTGCAAGTACAAATTGCACGGGCGTCTTATTTGGTCGCCCTCATTTAATTTATACATATTTTTTTTAAATGTTTTAACTTGTATCCACTTTTTAAACAACTTCAGTCTCCTTTCTCCTCCTTCATTTTTTTCTTCTTCTTTCTTTTGCTGTTGTTGGTGCTGCTATGAAACTTCAGTTCATGGGATGATTGCCATAAGTATGTTTATCAGATTATTTAAAAACAAATTATAAATAATTACGTAAGTTAGTAGACAATAATTTGTGAATATTTCCACGTACGGAAAGTTTAAGGTCACACTTAGTGATTCTTTTCATGATAATTCTGTTCTTTTCACGTTTATTGTTTCCAAAATTTTATGATTTAGATACTGTTGCCAATCTGATTATTTTATAGTAGTAATACACTATGAAAGAATAAGGTGATTATTTATGTAGTATGTTAGAAAGTTTTTTCAAAAACTTCAGCTTATATAGTGCTGAAGCTTTTACAAATGAACTAAATAACTTCAGCATCTTCTGCTGAAGTTTTTAAAAAAGCTTATGAGAAAACTAATGAATCCAGGACAAAAGAACTTCAGTTTATTTAGTGCTGAAGTTTTTACAAATGAACTAAATAACTTCAGCATCTTCTGCTGAAGTTTTTGAAAAAGCTTTATGACAAAACTAATGAACCCAGGACAAAAAAAACTTCAGCTTATTTAATGCTGAAATTTTTACAAAATGAACTAAATAACTTCAGCATCTTCTGCTGAAGTATTTGAAAAAGCTTTATGACAAAACTAATGAATCCAGGACAAAAAACTTCAGCTTATTTAGTGCTGAAGTTTTTATAAATAAACTAAATAACTTCAGCATCTTCTCCTGAAGTTTTTTAAAAAGCTTTATGACAAAACTAATGAATCCAGGACAAAAAAAACTTCAGCTTATTTAGTGCTGAAGTTTTTATAAATGAACTAAATAACTTCAGTATCACAAAACTTCAGCTACTAGAATGCTTAAGTTCAGCAATTACAAATAAAAACTTAAACAAATAGAGAACAAAACTTCTCACTAGAATGCTTAAGTTCAGCAATTACAAACAAAAACTTAAGCGCACTTGGTTCAGCAATTTTTGCTACTTCAGGCGCGTCTACTAGAATGCTAAAGTTTGCGTGATTGCCTTTGCTACTTAAGGCCTGTATGCTGAAGTTACGCGAAAGAGTGGGTACGCCTGCAATCTTTTTTGCAAAGCGGGTACAAGTTAGTGGCGGGCTCTTGGGTCGTCCAGACCCATATCTGGTAAAAGTGGTGGCCTGGTTGTCCCCACACCCCCTTATCATGCGTGCCTGTGGGAGCAGTTTGACTCAGCACGTGGATGTCACGAATATATTGGCATAGAATATGGAATCTTTTCTACATAAGCTGGTTGTGCAAAGTTTGTTTGTTCATACAGGCAGTGTGAAACGTGAGCCAAAAAGCGGGTATAGATGCAAATGCTCCCACTTGGAACGCAGTAGTTAGAAAACACTGTTCTCGTATTATTATACTACTTAAAGAAACCATTTAATGTAAGTTATTTCCTACGTGTATATATGGCCCAACAAGATTAGGCCCATAATTAATATTTAATTAATGAGAAAATCTCATCCGTCCGGCCGGTTACTTGATGGACGTGCCGGATTAAATAAGAACCTCTATAAATTGGTCCTCTCCCCACCCATTAGGCTTACCGTATTTTTTTTTCCTCTCTTCCATTACTAAAGTCGGCGGTAACGAAAGCTAGGGCAAGGGGCGAGAAACCAATTTCAATTAACGCTTCCGCTTCACGATGATGGCTTACGATTCAAGTATGTTTTCTTTCTGTAACGATTTTGTGTAAGATTATCATGTTTAAGATCCTGATGTAAATTAAGTTTATGCTTACATGTGGTATCAGTAGCCTGGATTTTGAACGGATAATCTTCGTAAACGAATTTTACATATTTGTGAACCGCTTCAGAAATCATGTGCTATCTTCGGCAATTAGAAACTATTTTTTTTTTGTTTTAAACTTTCAATCATGATTGCTGGGATTCTAAATCTTGGTTGATAGATGATAAAATAATAAATAAATCAAAAGGCAAACAAGTGAAAGTTCTTCCAAGTCTTAACTGTAATTGTCGTTACTTTCTTAGGCGGAAAGTAAATATCAATTTGAGGTTTGAACACTAAAGATTTATAATCCTGTGTCTTTAATATATAAGTGAATTTGGACTAATTTTTGATGATCTCTTTCCGAATAACAAAAGTCCAAACCAACATTATCCATTGTTGTTCACTGTTTTAATTGGTTAAAATTTGATGTTTATTATTAGAGCCGTCACCTTGGCCCGTGAGGCGAGCCCAATCCAGCCCGCTATTGAGTAGGGTTGGGTTGGGATTTTTTAGCCTATTTAAAATTGAGGCTTATAAGCCCGGCCCAAGTCAGCCCGCTGACCCTTGAGGGTTCACCGAGTCTGGGCCTGGGCCAGCCCCGTGGGCCAAAAATTAATTAAATTCAAATTTAAATATTTAATATTTCAAAAAAAAAAAAACTAAACAAATTATTAACTATAATTCTCATTCCTTAACCTTAAATTGCTCATTTACCCGTCCATATCAACTAGAATTAAGATTTTTGATATGCATGTAGTGTGACAAGATTAGTTTTTCTTTTGCTTAATTAGCAACGAAATAGGAAAATTTTAAGTGGCCAATAATAATTTTCTTCAAAAGAAAATATTACTTTAAGTGGCCAATGATTGATTTGGTTACTTTAATATATTATTAATAATTAAACTGCTCTTCAGTTTAAAAAAAGATCAAGTTTTAATACCCAAAGAAAATTGACAACACTAACGAATTTCATGAATTTTAAATTTTTTATGGACTATAATGATAAAATTAGCAAATGATGTTAAACCTAAATTTAAAAACCTCAACATATAAACTTATTGAAACAATCCCTGAACATGAGGAAAGTGAAAGAAAAATATTAAAAAATATTCATGTAACGTTAAAAAAGAAGAGTTAGAGATATAGAATTTGCATTTCAATTATGAGATTCCTTGTCAAATATCAAGATTCTTGTACGCTCTAAACAAACAAAAGTCATTTATATGATTAAGAGACTATGTCACGAAAAATATTTAAAGATATCAAGAAAAAAAAATTCTAAAAAAAAAATTAAAGGCCCGGCCCGCCCTAGCCCGCTGCCTCTTAGGGCTGGGTTGGGCTGGTCATTTTAAGGCCCATTTAGATGAAGGGCCGGCCCGCCCCAACCCACCAAATTGAAAAGCCCGTGAGGCTTTGACTGGGTTGGGCTGGACTGGCCCGTTTGACAGCTCTATTTGTTATTATTCTCCAAAAGTGGCTTGAAAATATTTTTCTAGTATAGAACAATTTTGGTGTCAGAAGTTGCGTTAATGTGCAAGAATATGATGAAACATGAATATTGTTAATGATGCCCTAATGTCGCGATTCAGTTTAAACCCACTAACTTTTGCCCATTAAATTTAGTTTCGCCAATCCTAGTAAGGAGCTAATTAATAATTGCGGAGACTGATTTTAGGTCCTTCCAATATGACATAATTAATTTTCTTGGGCTATGAATAATTTGTTTTGGGCTATTAAGTTGGTGAAGCCCTTTATTATTTATTTTATGTATGTGATTTATGTTTATATAGTTTGTTAGTTATCAAAGTGATCAAAATAGATTGTTTAAATATTCACATGCATAAAATCTTCATATATTTATTTTATGTGTGCATTTAAGTTTATATAGTTTGTTAGTCACCAAAGTGGCTAAACTAGTATGTTCATGAAAAATATGCATACATAAAATTATAATTTATCCATAAAATTAACGAAATGCCTATAACTAAAAATTAGTGGACAAAATTAATTTTCACTATTGCTAGAACTTAAGGATTTACCCAAAGGTGCATCATTTATTCTATGAATAGTGAATATGATGAGGTAAATTAATATTCTTAGTCAAATATATATTGTCTGTCCAAAGATGGCATATATATTTGGTTAAAAATATTTAATTACCTATTAAAGACTAAATGTCATTTAAATTATGATAATGTGTCGTAGTATTTACCCAAAGGAGAATTGCGATATGCTTTAACTGTTTTGTTGAATCCATATTGATTTGTGAGCATGTATTATCTATTTTGCAGCTATTCCTTTTCATTCGCTTACTTCGTCTGTTACTGTGCTCAATGGATTGAACTTCTCTGAATGGCATGAACAAGTCCAGTTCCACTTAGGTGTGATGGATCTTGACTAGGCTCTGCTGAATGATAAGCCCGCTGCCATTACTGATTCGAGTAGTGCGAATGAGAAGTCTTTCTATAAAGCATGGGAACGCTCTAACAGGCTAAGCCTTATGTTATGCGAATGAATATTGCCAACAACATTAAGAGTACTATTCCACAAACAGATAGTGCCAGGGAATACCCAAAGTTTGTGGAAGAACGTTTTCGTTCTGCAGATAAGTCTCTCGCTGGTACGCTAATGGTTGAACTCACGACCATGAAGTTTGATGGGTCATGTTGTATGCAAAATCATATCATCGAGATGACTAACATTGCAGCAAGACTTCAGACCTTGGGGATGAAAGTGGATGATTCCTTCTTGGTTCAGTTTATTCTGAACTCGTTGCCTCCCGAGTATGGACCTTTTCAAATTAACTATAACACTATTAAGGATAAGTGGAATGTTAGTGAATTGTCCAGTATGCTTACTCAGGAGGAGTCAAGACTTAAGAAACAAGGGAGTCATTCAATTAACCTCATGGGTCAAGGAGCTGGTAAAGGACTTAAAGTGAAGGCCAACAAGCTCAAGAAGAAGAAGGCACCTGCTAAAGCTCCACAGGATGCTAAGAAGGAACATAAGGCAGATACGTGTCGTTTCTGTTACAAGGAAGGACACGATCAGAAATATTGCCTGAAACGTAAAGCTTGGTTCGAAAAGAAAGGTACAATTAGTGCTTTTGTATGTTTCGAATCAAATTTAATAGAAGTTCCTAATAATACTTGGTGGCTCGATTTTGGTGCAACTGCTCATGTATCTACTACGTTGCAGGGATTCCTTACGATCCAAACTACAAATCCAAATAAGGATTTCTTGTTCACGGGAAATCGTATGAAGGCTCCAATTGAAGGCATAGGGACTTATCGTTTGATCATGGAGACTGGACGTCACCTTGATCTATTACAGACTCTTTATGTACCTTCAGTTTCTAGGAATTTGATTTCTCCTTCAAGACTTGATGTTTCTGGATTTGATTTAAAGTTTGGAAATGGATGTTTCAATTTATATAAGAATGATATTTTTATGGTTCTGGTTTTCTTAGTGATGGTTTATATAAATTGAAACTCGATATTGGTTTTTCTGAATCCCTTCTTACTATTCAACATAATGTTGGAATTAAACGTAGTTCACTAGATGAAAGTTCTGCTTACTTGTGGCATAGATGTTTGGGTCATATATCCAAAGAAAGGTTAGAAAGATTAGTAAAGAATGAGATTCTTCCGAATCTAAATTTTACTGATCTTACTATAGGTTTGGATTGCATTAAGGGAAAGTAAACTAAGCATAATAAGAAAGGTGCCACAAGAAGCCCCCAGCTTCTTGAAATTATACACACCGATATTTGTGGACCTTTTGATGTTTCATCTTTTGGTGGAGAGAAATATTTTATCACTTTTATCGATGATTTTTTACGTTATGGATACATCTATTTGCTGGAAGAAAAATCTCAAGCAACAGATGCTCTCAAGGTATTTGTTAATGAGGTTGAAAGGCAATTAGATAGAAAGGTGAAAATCATTAGGTCAGATAGATGTGGTGAATATTATGGAAAGTATAATGAATCAGGACAATGTCCAGGTCCATTTGCAAAGTTCCTCGAGGAACATGGCATATGTGCACAGTATACTATCCCAGGAACACCTCAACAAAATGGTGTTGCAGAAAGGCGTAATTGAACACTTATGGATATGGTTAGGAGCATGATGGGTAATTCCTCATTACCCAAATCATTGAGGATGTATGCTGCTATATATTTATTAAACAGGTTTCCCAGTAAGGTAGTTCCAAAGACCCCTTTTGAACTGTGGACAGGAAGGAAACCTAGTTTAAGGCACCTGCATGTTTGGGGTTGCCCACCAGAAGCTAGAGTTTATAATCCACAAGAAAAGAAATTAGATTCTCGAACAGTAAGTGATTACTTTATTGGTTACCCAGAGAAATCTAAAGGGTATGTGTTTTACTGTCCAAACCATAGTTCGAGAATTGCTGAAACCGGTAATGCAAGATTCATTGAGAATGGTGAAGTTAGTGGAAGTGTTGAAAATCAAAGTGTGGAAATAAAAGAGGTGAGGGTCAATATTCTATTACCCACGAATGTGCCTACTTTCACACAAATATCAAATATTGTTCCAGTTGTTGAAGAACACTTTGACAACACCGAGCAACATTTGGATGAAACACTTCATGAAGAAACTAACTCACAAATATCTGACACAAATGAACCACAAGAAATGCCATTAAGAAAATCTCAAAGAGTTAAATAATCGGCTATTTCGGATGATTACGTGGTTTATTTGCAAGAGTCAGATTTTGACATTGGTCTTAATAAGGATCCGGTTTCATTTTCACAAGCCATAGAGAGTAATGAGTCTGAAAAATGGATTGATGCCATAAAGGAAGAGTTAAAATCCATGGAATATAATAAAGTCTGGGATCTTGTTGAATTGCCAGAAAGTTCGAAAAGAATTAGGTGTAGATGTGTCTTTAAGACCAAACGCGATTCAAATGGCAATATTGAACGATACAAAGCCAGACTTGTTGCCAAGGGTTATACACAGAAAGGAGGCATTAATTATAAAGAGGCCTTTCCAACGGTCTCAAAGAAAGACTCGTTAAGAATTATTATGGATTTGGTGGCTCATTATGATTTAGAGTTACACCAAATGGATGTGAAAACTGCCTTTCTTAATGGAGACCTCGAGGAGGAAGTTTATATGGACCAACCAGAGGGTTTCGAAACTAAAGGAAAAGGTCAAATGGTGTGTGAACTGAAGAAGTCAATATATGGACTTAAACAAGCCTCACGACAATGGTATATAAAGTTTAATGATACCATAACTTCTTTCGAATTTGTGGAAAATGCCGTTGATCGGTGTATATACCAAAAGATCAGTGGGAGCAAGTTTATATTTTTAGTCCTATATGTTGATGATATTCTACTTGGTGCTAATGATTTAGGCATATTGCGTGAGACTAAATATTTTCTCTCTAAGAATTTTGAAATGAAAGATATGGGTGAGGTATCCTATGTGATAGGAATAGAAATATTCCGTGATAGATCACAAAGACTATTGGGATTGTCTCAGAAAGGCTATATCGAAAGAGTTCTAGAGAGATTTAACATGAACAATTGTTCAGCAGGAATTGTTCCAATTCAAAAAGGGGACAAATTTAGTCTCATGCAATGCCCTAAGAATGATGTAGAACAAAAAGAAATGGAATCAATTCCTTACTCTTCAATTGTTGGTAGTCTGATGTATGCTCAGACCTGCACAAGACCGGATATTAGTTTTGCGGTCGGAATGCTAGGAAGATATCAGAGTAACCCAGGAATTAATCACTGGAAAGCTGCAAAGAAAGTTTAGGTACCTGAAAGGAACGAAGGGTTACATGCTCATGTATAAGAGATCCAAGCATTTGGAAGTTGTTGGATATTCGGATTCAGATTTCGCTGGATGTATTGACACTAGAAAATCCTCGTTTGGTTATTTGTTCCAATTAGCTGAAGGAGCAATATCGTGGAAGAGCACCAAACAGTCTGTCATTGCTACATCCACAATGGAAGCAGAATTTGTGGCATGTTTTGAAGCCACAATTCATGCATTATGGCTGTGAAATTTTATTTCAGGACTTGGGGTTGTCGACAACATTACCAAGCCGCTGAAAATTTACTGTGATAATTCTGCAGCAGTATTCTTCTCCAAGAACGATAAGTACTCCGAAGGTGCTAAACATATGGAATTAAAGTACTTTACCGTCAAGGAGGAAGTTCAGAAACAAAGAGTGTCACTTGAGCATATTAGAACTGATCTCATTATTGCAGATCCGTTAACGAAAGGTTTACAGCCAAAGATATTTAAAGAACATGTACGTAGAATGGGCCTTGGCTGCATTTATGATTGATGTATTTATGATGTTTTGACACTCTGAGCTCATTTATGTGTTTCTGATATACATTAGTGATTTCCTGTTTCTCATAATGGTGTACACATTATTGTTTTGAGATATTACAGGATAAGTCTCAATGAGAAATTATTGTGGACCATAATATTTTATAGCTTATGGACCTGGTACGATGAGCTGCTAATGTTATGGTATATGGAAGGGAGTATGTAGACAAATTATATATAACCGTCATAACTCACATTTAGTAGTTTATCGTATTATGGTATTTATGATGGACATTATAGAAGATATTTGTTTATGCACAACTAATGTTCCTATATTAAATATTAATATTATGTGATTATTGGGCCAAGTGGGAGAATGTAAGCTATTTCCTACGTGTATATATGACCCAATAAGATTAGGCCCATAATTAATATTTAATTAATGAGCGAATCTCATCCGTCCGATCGGTTACTTGATGGACGTACGGGATTAAATAAGAACCTTTATAAATTGGTCCTCTCCCCACCCATTATGGTTACCACCGTATTTTTTTTCCTCTCTTCCATCACTAAAGTCGGCGGTAACGAAAGCTAGGATAAGGGGCGAGAAACCAATTTCAATTAACGCTTCCGCTTCACGATGATGGCTTACGATTCAGGTATATTTTCTTTCTGTAACAATTTTGTGTAAGATTATCATGTTAAAGATCCTGATATAAATTAAGTTTATGCTTACATTTAAACCTGTGAATGCGCAATTGATAACAGTCTTCTACAACCATTTTTCACAAAGTGCTTATACTTTCTACTTTACAGGAATAATAATCTCAAAACCACAATTTGTTTCTAATTTGCAGAATTATCTTAAACCAAAATTTCACGTGTTAATTTTTTTCTTTCCCGTGTCTTAAGTTGATAGAGACCTAGCCGGTAGATAACCTTTTCAATATGGCACCTGAATAGTTGTTTTAACGAATTTTTACATTCTTATATCACATAGGAAACTTTTTTACCCTACATGTTTAAGGTTTGAGTAAATTACACTTAGTATACCAAATTACCAATCATATACCATACTTAATTAAGAGTCTAATTAATGGGCTGTTTTTACTCCTTAATTAAAGGTATCCATATCTAATTAATGGGCAGTTTTTACTCCTTCATTAAAGGTATCCATATATCTCACGTTTCTCTCTCCTTACCCCTCACCCCCTCACCCATGTTTTTACCCATACCCCACATTCTTTCTTGTTCTTCATCCACGATTGCAAGATCAATCAACGAAAGATGTCCTTGAGATGCATTAGCCAGCGAAATCTCATTATATTTGAATGTCGTGCCAATTTCCTCTGCAACAATTGTGGCATGTGATCTGATTTTCTGAAAGTCTACATGAAATCAAAAGTTGCAACAAATATTTTAATACGCCACGAACTAGCAAAACAATAAAAACAGATACACTTTAGTAGTTTTTTTTTTTGGGTACCAAACAAAATTCCCTCTTCTGGAAAAGTCAAAAATGAGAAATTTATTGGTAAAGAGACTAATATGAAAAGATGCCGACAACTTCTCCAAATGACTTAGAAATACTGACTGTTGAAGCCCTCACCTAGATTTACTGTTTGTCGTGTATTTGTAGTATAATTACAGTATAATTGTAGTGTAATTGTAGATTTAGTGTAATGGATATGATCTGTTGAAGCCCTCACCTAGATTTACTCTTTGTAGTGTAATTGTAGTTAATTTGTAGTTTATGTAGAACATTCCAAGATTAATTGTAGTCTAAAATGTAGATATAATGTAGACATGATTGTGGATGATGTGTTTCTTGTTTGCCCTGTAATTGTAGGTAAATTGTAGTTATTCTTATATTAGGTACTTAAACTGTAGGTAATTTGTACATTCACTGTAGGTAAACTGTAGGTAAATTTGTTTGAATTGTAGAACTGGTTTTATACATAATTGTAGAGTTTTTGTAGTTAATAGTAGTTATAATGTAGGATTTATGTATCGCTTCACACCATCTATCACAGTATGGATATGATCTGTTGAAGCCCTCACCTAGAATTACATAACAAACAGCAATAAAAATATTTACAATCATAAAATAGTTTATCTACAATTTATCTACAACGTATCTACAATTATATCTATAAATTATCTACAATCTACAAATTAACTATAATTTATCTACGAATTATATACAATCTACTATTTTGATTTCACGATGTATTTGATTTCTACAATTTTTCTGTAGTATCAATTGATACTTGTTCTGCAATTGTAGAAATCAGGATACTGTAGCTTGCATTCTCATCTACCACAATGGCATCAACTTCAAAATCTCTAAATCTGCCATAATTATCCCAATCCCCATTAAATTATAGCATGATTGCGATTTTGGACATGATTTGTTGTTGATGTTGATATTTTTTTTGGATTTCTAGATTGAAAGAAGAAAAGATGAAGAAGAGATATATCTGATCGATAATTTGATAGAAGCAACGACGAAGAACAGATTTTTTCAACTTTGAGTTGTTGAAACTCAAAAATTTTGAATTCTACAATTTGAATTCAGCTCGTCGAGACTCTTAGTAGTTGAATCTGTTCTTATTTTTAGGAGCTGTTCGTTCGTTTTTTTTTTTTAGTAATTTGAATTGTAGTTCTGGAGAAAAAAACGCAGATGAGAAATCTCCTTTCCCTTTTTAAAAATTGAATTTAATGTAGAATCAATTATCACCAAGATTCTCTCCTTAATTTTAGCGCATTTTTTAGGGAATATTCTG